AAGGCAGGTGAGCATCTCAAAATGCAAACACACCTGCAGCATATGGACAGATCCAAAGCACAGGGTTTGGATAAAGCTTTCCTTGGCTCTCCCTGATGTTTTGGAAGGGACATCTCATCACAGGTCCTTTCTAGGATGAAATCCTACTGGTGATGGCTTTTGGCTGAGCAAAATGTCCAGGCAGTCCTTGTAGTCTGTAGCACACCTGGGGCTGGGAATGATGACCCATCCCTGGAAGTGTTCAAGGCCAGGTTGGACAGGGCTTGGAGCAACCTGGTCTAGTGGAAGGTGTCCCTGCCCATGGCAGGGGGTTGGAATGAGATGGTCTTTAAAGTTCCTTCTAACCCCAACCATTCTGGGATTCTGGGACTTTATGTCCCTGCCTATGGCAGGGGGGTTGGACTTTGTGCCCCATAAAGGTCCATTCCATCACAAAGTATTCTGTGATTCCACGATGCCTCTCATGGACACGGATGCTGGGAGCTCTCCCATGAACTCCACTGTCATTGTTCAGCAAATGGGCTCAGAGCAGCTCTTGGAAAAGTCAAACCAGAGTTCTGGGAGAACACAAGGGGTCAATGGGATCCTGATATTCTCGTGTAAAATACAGAATCAGGGCACAAGTGGGAGGCAGTGCATGAAAAAATGCTGACAGTGTGGAAAACAGCTCTGACTTGGGGCAAATTCTGAATGGACCACTCAGAACCAGCACATGTTCATCTGCTGAGCTGAATAACTGACTCATGGCTGATCCAAGAGAGCTGGAGTTCCCCGTGGCTTCATTCCTTCTTGGGCTCTGTTAAGGTGCAAGGGACTGATGGATTTTTCCCTTCACTTTGCATCTTGGTGGATGCTCTGCTGTCAACTAAGGAGTAAGTTTGAGGCACATCTTTAAGAAGCCAGGTGAAAATAACATATTGAAAATCCTATTTCACACTTCCAAAGTTGAATGTAGGATCAATGAAGGGAAAACTAGTGTCTGGGTCATTTCTGATGCTCCCTAATGACACTCCTGCCTAGAAAACATCTTGGACTTCGTAGCTTCCTCGTCATTACATTATACAGGAGTCCACCAGTGCTTTGAGGTTAAGAGATGGATCTTCAGAAGGTAAGACTCAAAACCAGATGAGACTTTTTTGTTTAGACCACAAGACAGGTGCTGAGGCCTCAAATACCTCCTCTAGCTCTGCCTGCTCTCTCTCCATGACTGTGCCCAAGACCCTTACCTATAGGAGGGCAGTAATATCTCCTCTTACCTGTTTAGGTTCTGTAACTTCAGATAAGGACTGTGCACAGCAGAGGACCTTCAGACCTGCTATCATGCTACGAAACCCCAGAATAAGGAGAACAAAGCCTCTGTCAGTGCCAAGATTCAAACATTTTCCAGGCCATCACAGCCTGACTGTGCTAATTGTTATCGTGGTCAGTGAGAAGTTTGCCAGAGGTGTCCAAGCACTGCAGTCAGAGAAGGGCCCCCGTCTTCCTCTGCTGGCTCCGTAGCAAAGCCTCGTGCTCCTCCCAGAATAGCAACTGTGCAAACCTCGGCGCTTCTCTTCCAAACCCTTCTGCATTTTTAGAAACTAATTTGCAAAGCCTCGGCCCCTGTGGCTACAAGCAAAGCCTGGCTGTCTGTGCAGCCTCCTCAGCCACGGCATCTCCAGGCTTCTCTCTACGTGATGCTGTGAGCTTCGACCTGGGCGTGGGTTTTTACCTGGGAGAAGAAAATCCCGCCAGAAGACTCTTGGGATCCTACACAAGGCAAGAGAGGAGGGGTTGGGGATGGGATCGTTGTAAGCAGAGGTCTCTGGGGGGAGCTCCTGACACATGGCAGAGCCTGGGACCCCATTTTCCAGCCACCTGACCCCACACTCTCACCTTAGCTCAGCAATAATATCATTGCACAGCATCCAGTGGCCCTCACCAACACCACTGGGATCAATTCAGCTGGAGCCACAGGGCGTTAGTAAACTCTACCGAGATCTTCTCCTCATTTCCTATATCCATAAGCCACACAGACAGTATTTTTTTAGGTATCCAAAGCCACAGCCTTCCTGTGGAGGGCACAGAGATGAATTCCCATCACAGTGAGCCACAGAGCATCTCCCATCCAGCTCATGCCTCTTGGGATGCTGATCCTTGAGCACAGCTGTCCAGAGGACACCAAATGGTGGGAAATATCTGCACACCCACCTGCAACCTGCTCCCCTTCCATTCACAGCTTGGATTGAGTAAGGGGGGGATTAAACTGATATCCCTTATCTCAGACCTTCCAGGGATTTCTGCGCCAGCTGACACGAAGTGCTCGCTCTGAAATGAGCAACATTTGCCAATAATACCTTCCACGGTCAGGGGGATGATGGCACTTAGAAAGCAGATAAATTTTGTTATATTTTTAAGCAAAGATAAACACTGGCTGCCTGAGATTAAACCACCCCTCCAGCTCTTCTCTGCTGAAACCAAACTGGCACGTCTACGGCAAGGAGCGCTCGGCAAACAGGACTGGTCATCGCAGTGATTCCAGCACGCGGGATTAAACCCCACAACTGCTTCAAGAAATGCACAAAACAATGGCCAGAAATGCTGTGCAGAACCCCAGGGTCTCCCTGCAACCCCTCTCCTCCTTGCCAGGGTGGTGAAGAGAGTTTGGATTAACACCGGTAAAATGTAGCATAAATTTAAGTGGTGGGGAAAAAAAAAACCACTGGTTGTCAGCTGGAAACTAGAAAGGGGGTAATTCTGGCCTCCCTACAATTTTGTTCTATTTTCCTATTTTTAAACAACTTAGCAGATTGAGAATTTTGCTTAATGCCTCCCGGATCACACGAGGCCATGCAACAGTTTGACACCCACATGTGACAGGGACACACACACAAGGAGGGAAACCCTCAGCCCCTGTGCTCTGTGTAAAATTCACAAGTTTAGACTAAATTCCTTAATACATCCATGAGTATTTTGTCACAGAGATCACTTTTACTGTCAGTGGGTTTATAGCCACAGTTTAGATTCCCATAAAATTTACATAATTAAAATATTTCAGGTTTGTTTTTTTTTTTAAAGAAACTTCTTTCCTACAGTTTCTGAACAGAACACCCCACGTAGGATCTCACCAAGCAAAGGAAAATCTCCCAAGGGCCACGGAGGCATCAGGACAACAGCAGCACCTACGGAAAAGCAAGTGCCTGTGGCCTCCACGGGGCAGAGGCTTTGATTTCATCATTGAAACGCAATGCAAGAAGAAGCACCAAAATAAACAGCTCCATAAAGCAGCAGGAACGCAGCAAAGCAGTTGGAGGCTCCTCCAGCGAGAATGACCTAAATCCAAGAGGCATTTGGTGCAGATGCTGCTCAGCTCCACAACACCCTCGCAGCCTCCAGGACAACCCGGGATGTACCAACAAAGAAGGAAGAGAACCTGGGAGAAGACTCCTTCTTTTAATAAAGTTACACAGCGATTTTTTTTTTTTTTCCATCCCCCCCCAAGGCACCCTCCTGCAGTGGCTGCCCCACACCCAGGGCTGCCGGGGGGGCCCTGGGACCCCCTTTCCCGGAGCGACCCCGCAGCAGCCGGGGTTATCGATGGAGATGTGTGTAATTGCCCTGTCAGGCAGCTGAAAGGCGCTCGCCTTTAGCTGATGCCACTTCAAAATGAAATTCTTTCTTTGGCATGGCTATGTCTGATATGCAGGCATCAAAGGGGAGGCAGCAGGTCGCCGATGCCCCAGGCCACGCATTTCCCTTCTAAAAAGCAGGAATGGGAGTGTCAGCTCCGGGGCCGAGGCGGCCCTGGAGACCAACACCCATCACTCCTTCGAGGGTTGCTGGAAAGATTCGAGGACCCCCCCCAAGCACCCAGAGACATTCAAAGGCTCTCCAGCAGCAAAGGGGACTCTGTGGGCCTGCACACCGCTAGGATGGAGGGGTGGAAAAGCCTCCCTGGCACAGAGGAGGTTGAGGGCTGGGGTTTTTTTGCTTCCAAGAGAAACACAGGGCCACGCTCGCCTCCCCCCACAGCTCCCATCTCCTCTCTCCACCTGCACTCTTCAGGGAGCCAAGGCTTTTGGCAAGCTTTCCACTGCAGTTTTTATTGGTTTCAACTGAGCTGCCCCTTTTGGAGGGTTGGAAAGCTTCAATCATTAAAGGAAAAGAAAAAAAGAATAAATTAAAAAAAAAAAGGAAAGTATCCTGCACCCTCGCCCTACTGCCCCTTCCCACTCCAATGATGGCTGAGGACACGAGCCCCACACCACCCAGCCCAGCCCAGCTCCCTATTTTCCAAGCCAAACACAGCCCTTTCAATGCATTTGAGCCAGAGTTTTCAAGGCCCTGGATACCTCCAACTGTACCTGCTTGGCTCTGATCACCTTCCTGCTCGGAAGCAATTTAGAAAGGACACAGCACAGGTAGCTATTAGCTAACACATATTTAACTGCTCCAGATATCTTTTTTTTTTTTTTTTTGGCATTGTAATGGAGTGATTTGATCTTCAAAGGACCCGTGGAAACCTTTGAAGCTTCCCCATCTCCAGTGGGGAGGGGAGGAGGGGTGGGGGGGAAATGTTAATAGTTTTAAAACCTGGGGAATCCTGAAGTCGGAGAAAGGGTATAAAACCCACTGGGTTTAGCATAAAGCCCTCAGGTAAATCTTCACCTTCTTTTCAAATGCATTTTTGGTGGGTTGCTTTGCAAAGGCTCGGGCCAGGTTAGCAAGGTCGGCTCTACTCCCAGCGGCTCTTAATCTCCAGGGACCCTCATCTCCCACGTGGCACAGCCCCGGCACCGGGGGATCCGCGGAACCTCGGTGAGAAATAGAAAGACTAAAATTTGCAAAGCCTTTAGGTAGAAAAGGAGTAGGGGAGGGGGAAAAGGGGTCGGAGGGTGGAAAAGACAAGGACAGAAGATAAATTCCCGGCTGCACTCCCAGCCAGCACAGCCTCAGCAGCACCCTGAGAGGCGAGACACAAAATGCGTTTACCTTTAAAATAATGACTCATTTTATTTTTTTCTTTTAATATGTAGTTATAAATATATTTTGTCAAAATATATGATCATTATTGTCAAAAACATTTGCACATAAAGTCATAAATAAGGTCAAGGTGAACGTTTAGTTTAGAGAAGAGTCCAGCTATAGCAAGCAGTTCTGGGGTGGGACGGGAGGGAGAGAGAAGGGGAGGAGAGGGCGGCGGGGAAGGGGGTCAGCGGCACCCGCACCCCTCCACCACCATCTCCTGGTAGTTTTTCAGGACCACCTTGTCATACTCATCCAGGTAGAGCATGGAGATGGCGCTCAGCTCCGTGGGCACGCAGCAGGCCTTGGGAATGCTGGAGTTCACGGAGTTCACCAGCGTCTGCACGATGGCGTGGTTCGTGGAGTTGAGGTGGTCGGCCAGAGGGAAGGGGCAGTCCCCGTGGCAGTAAAACGCCTGGTACCCCGGGGGCGCCACGATCCAGTCGTTCCAGCCCACGTCGCTGAAATCCACATAGAGGGCATGGCGGCGGCAGTTTTTTTTGTTCTTGCGGGAACGCTGGTGCTTGGGGCTCCGCCGGGCTCTGCGGGTCAGCGCGTGGCCTCGCCCGTCGTGCCCAAAAGTGACCAGGAGCGGCCTGAGCTGAGCCCAGTCCCCGCGCCCTTGAGGTAAAGATCGGCTAATCCTGACGTGTTTGCCCTGATGAGTCTGTGCGTGGTGGAGGTGGGTCACCTCGATCACCAGCCCGTGGTTCGGCTGCTTGTCCTTGGTCCACCGGATCACAGCCGGGCTCACATCAAAGGTCTCCCAGCGCGTCACGTTGTGGTGCACCAGACGCGTGTCCAGCAGGCGCGTAATGGCCTGAGCGCGCTCCGACAGCGGCTTCATCACTTCGTAAATGTTTATCCGGTGGAAGCCCCCCTCCCACGCCGCGCTCGGCTCCTCCACCTGCTCCCGGTACAGCCGCAGCTCCGCCGAGGAGATCACCTCGTTTTCCGGCACGCTGCTGAGGTTGAAGACGAAGCGGATCCGGGGCGCCTCGCTGGGACCCGGGACGGTCTCCAGGTGCTCTGGAGGGGAGCAGGGACGGGGGAGGGAAATGGTAAGACAAGCAAACAAGAGCACGTCAGCCTTGGGGCACCCAGCCACGGCCCCCGGCGCGGCCACAGCACACACACACACCCCCTGCGCTTCACCTGCCCGGCGGACGCCGGCTCCGCTCCGCTCCCCCGCGCATCCCTCCCGGCCGCACCCGGAGCAGCTCCTGCCCCGGCACCGCTCGCTCGCCTCCGCCCTGACCGGGACACCCCTTCCCATCTCGTTTCCCCTTTTAGAGAGGGGTTTTTTTTCCCCTTTCGCTCTTCCCCTTTTGCTTTTCCCCCTCCCAGTCGCTCCAAAATCGTCCCCCCGGCGAGATGCGGCGCCGCGGAGCACAGAGGTGCCTTGTTACAGGGGGCAGGGGGAAAAAGAGAAGCAAATTCCAACGCAGTAATGATGCGGCTGGATTAATAATTCAGATTTACTTTGGAAAAGAAACATCCGCTAGGAAACATTTGGATCAGATTACAAGGGTCTATTGAATAAACCATATAAACACACAGCTGTAAGTATTAAATTCGAGTCGGGGTTTGGGGGGATTTTTTCTTTTTCTTTTTCCTTTTTTTTTTTTTTTAAAGAGTAAAAGCAGGCAGCAATCGCTTTGATAGTTCAAAAGAAACACTCCAGGGGCGAGATCCCGCCCTCGCTTTACTCCCGCATCCGATCCAGAGCCATTAAATCCACGCGAGCCCAGGGAGTGACCCCGAGGCAGAGGCACCGAAGGAAACTCGCTGTTGTCAACAGAAGCAAAAGCACTTCAAAATATGGTCAAGCTCGGGTTAAGCACAGGATGCTGGAAAAAATACAGCGCAGCACGCCTGTCACCCACACACGGCAGGCTGGGGGGTGGTTTTCCTCCCATAAATTTAGGGCCGGGCACGTCCTGCTTCTAAAGGCATTTGTGAGCTTCCAAACGCAAGGAAATCCCGATCGCTACCGGGGCTGGGAATTTACCGCCTCCCATCACTGACCTTCATGGTGGAAACTCCTCACGGTGTTTGCCCGGCTGGTCGATCGCTCAGGGTACTGAAGGCTAATTTCCTGGAGGCTTTCCTCCTCTTCTCCAGACTGGAGTCGATAGAGATCCAGCATGTAACTAGGAATGACGGCTGACTTGCTGGGCTGAGGCCGCCTTCGCAGCCCAAACATCTGCAGCAGAGTTGTTTCGAAACCCCGCAAGAGTTCATGGCTTTGGGCAGAGCGGCGTCCGGATCCGGCTTGTCCCTGAAGCTCTGCCACTTTCTTCCTGCCGGTCTCGGGGATCAGGCTAGCATGGTTAGTACCTCCTAGAAGGACTTGGCATAGTAGGATGACCATCAGCATTCGGTTACCAGGAATCATGGTGTCTCTGGGGTGCAAAAAACGCGACAACAAACAAGAAGAAAAGTCAGGATGAGAAGCAAACCCCCCCCTTCTCTTCCGAATAAACTTTAAAAAAGTAATAATAAGTAGTAGTAATAACAACCATAATAACTGGCAAAAGGACATGGGGAGCAGCCCCCGTTCGAGCGGCTGCCGGGGCAGTGACCAGCCCCCGGACCCGGACTGCCCGCAGCCCTCTCGGGAAGCGGGTCCCCGGCGCATCCCGGTCCCGCTGTCCCGCAGCCCTTCGGGAAGAGGGTCTCCGGCGCATCCCGGCCCCCTCGGGCAGGCGGGTCCCAGGCGGGTCCCCGGCGCATCCTGGCCCCGCAGCCCCGCCGGGACGGGACGGGACCGGGAGAAGCGGCGGCGGCTCCCGGCGGGGAAGCGAAGGGGAGCGCGGCTCGGCGCGATGTGGGGCCCCAGGTTCGAATCCCGCCGCCGGATCCCGGGAAGGGAGAAACCGGGATAAGAACATAAAAGTTTTTTAAATTAAAAAAAAAAGAAAAAAAAAATAAAAGTAAAATAAAAGCCCCGCGCTGAAAACCAAAAGCGAGGCGGAGGAAGAAGAGGAAGAAGAGGGCTGTACTCACTGACAGCAAGCAAGGCATATCAGCACAGTCCATGATTCTGGAGAGCCAGCCCGGACCCAGCGCGCCGAAAGCCCCGGGGCAGCGGCTGCCGAGCGCCTCCCGCGATCGCCGCCCGGCGCAGTGCGGCCGCCGCCGCCGCCGGCCCCGGTTTTCTGCCGGCCCCGCAGTCACGTGGAGCCGCGCTCGCCGCCAGCCCGGCCCGGCCCGGCCCGGCCCGCCGCCCCCGGCCCGCCCCCGGCCCGGCCCGGCCCCGCGGGGGACGGCCCGACACCGCCCCGCCCGCGCCCGCGGCCCGCCAGGGAGAGCGGGGACCCCCCGGCGGGGCCGCGGGACGGGCGCGGTGGGACCCCTGCGCATCCCCCGCCCCGCTCAGGTGCATCCCCGCGGGACCCTCCCGCACCGCCCCGGCCCCGCTGTCCCCCGGGAGGTGCGGGCACCGCGAGGCTCTCCCCGAGGGACCGGTCTGGGAAGGGGGGCTCGGGAAGCGGCTCTCCCGCGAGGAGATGGGAGGGAGCGCTTGGGAACGAGGAGGAGCTGCTCGGGGAAAGGGACGGCGGCAGAGAGAGGGTCCCTCCTGTGCTCCCACCACCCGAGAGTCCCTCCCCGGGGTTGGGAGCCCGCTGCCAGGCCTGGGGCTCGCTGCCCTAGGTTCCCACCCGCCATCCAGGTTTTCTCATCCTTCTCCTGACCCTTCCCTCCCTGGCTGCCTGCATAGCTCTCTTCCCCTTCCCACCAGGCCCGGTGCCCAGACCCCCACCTGGATGTGCAGCAGGCACCTTTCCAAGGGCTGCATGAGGCCACAGCTGGCTGCTCCAGAGGGATCTCCAGGAGGAAGGATGCTCCCTGCCCCACAGTTCAACCCCAGCATTGCCCTGGGCCAGCTTTGGGGCTGAGACTAAGAGCCAGACATCCCAAGGCTTGAGACTGTTCCCAGGTGGAGTCTGGGGACAGACTGGTCTCCCAGTAGGGCACATCAATTGGGCATACTGGGATTGATGTGGAGAAGGCAGCTCCAGAGGAGGACACCCTAATGAAAAGTGATGGATGCCACGTGTTTTGGAGACATGGAGTAGACTGAACCACCCCACAATAAATGAAGCCAACTCCACCAGGGCATAAGAATCTTGCCCCTTTGCCCTACTGGGGTGTCCCTTTATGTTGGGCAAACTGTCACCCACGGCGAGAACAGCTGGTTAATTTATGAGACCAAAAGATGTGGTCGTGGAGTGGCCATGGGAACTCCGAAGCTCATCAATTAACCACAACCAAAAACCAGCTCAGAAACGATGACTGTGAACCAGCCACGTGGCCACAAACCACCGGGCTGCCGTGCCCAAGTGTGCAGCAAGCCCACACCAGCACCTCGGCGTCCTTCCAGCGCTGCCCCAGAGCTCACACACCATCCCGTCACAGACGCCTCCTTTTCATATTTCACTTTTTTTTTTCTTTTTTTTCCTTTAGCTCAGACCTGACCCATGCATTAGAAAAGCCCAGGGATGTCACCGAAAGGACACGCACAGATAAAAGGCAGTGCTGACACGGTAATATCTCTGAGTTATTCCTATACCACTCCGAGTTTAAAAGAAACATCTGTTAGCAAGGTATTTGGACTATGAATCCATCAAAATTTGTGAAATATTGCTATCGCCATTTCAAACGTATCACACTGTGTGTTATTCTTAACAAGTGAAAACAATTTTGGGAGTAGCTGCTGTGCAACTTTTTAAAGTTAAATAACATTTTCATTGAAAATACTCCAGTCTATAAACAAAGTTTACACGAGGGCCTGTATGGCTCTAAGACAGACCTCTGGATCGGGAAAAGCAACGGGCTCCCTCTTTGTGGGAGCAGTTGTGCTCTTTGTCCGAAGTCCTCGGTCGGATTTTGTTGGGATCAGAGGGCGGCCGTGCTGGAAACGTTTGTCCCTGAGAAATTCAGTCCCGCGGCATCCAGTGCCTGCTCTCTCCTAAGCCATCCCGTCAAACCGAGATCCCAAAATTCGCTTATGTAACGCTGGTTAACCGTGCCCTGCGAGGAGGTGGCCAGCTGGGGCCAGGGAGCCAGGGCAGAGCAGTGTGGTTTGGGCTCTCGTAGGAGGCAAGAGCGTATTTGAGTAGCTCCTTGGTTACTAAGAAGTGTTAGTCATGGGGAAAGCTGTAGTATTTATTCCGTAAAATGTAAATACATAACCCAAACCACAAAGGAATAACCATGGATGGAAATAGTGTAGCATTTACCGAGGGAGCCGAGCTGCCTTTCTACAGAAGCTGCATTTCCTCAGCCCCATAGAGTGTAATTCACCTTGAACGGAGCTTCTGCTCCAGCCCGTGGAGTTACACATCGGCTGAACTCGGTCCAGGCACACTAAACAACCCAGTGTGTTATATATTCCAACCAAAAAAAAGTGATGCCAAAACGGAGCTAAAAATACAAATGTGGAAGGTTTGAAAAGCAAACACTGCTTAATTCAGCGGTGGATGCAACTTTAAAGATCCAGGACGTCAAAAATAGAAACATTGTGTCTGTGCTCAAGGCAAGGCTCACCTCCCTCTGATTACATGGGTGAAGGGGGGGTTGGTGGGGTTCTTGCCGGTGATTCGGCCCCAGCCCTACTCGGGGTCCTACAGCCAGGTTTTTTCCTCTCTGTCCTCCGTGAAAAACCTTCTGGGAATCTCTGCACCTGGACAGCAAGACCATTGGTCTCCTCTGGAAGCAAAGAACCAGGTCACTGGGGACCTCACCCTGCAAAGAATGGCCAGACAAAGAGGTGATTCATCCTGTGCAGACCTTGGCTGTGACAGAAGACTTTGTCAGTGGCAGCAAGAAGCCCAGGAACCGGCAGGTCTCCTGGAGCCCCAGTGCCCAGCTCTGCTCACAGAGGTCACCAGCTGAGGGGCAATTATTTGTTCTCTTTTGTTTCAACCTGGTTATCGTGGATTTGCCCAGACGTGTTCCTGATAAAATCCCAGCCACACACACCTGACCCGTTTCCAGGTTTTGTGTGCTCAGGACCTACCAACAAGCACTGTAGGTCGATGTTCAGCACCTCTAGAAATTAGGCCAGCTCTGTTTACAAGGAAAACTTCTCCTCTAATGGCAGCATTTCAGGAGATGCCTCTGGTCTCGGACCTTCCCAAACCAGTTCTTGCATCCTATGTTATTTTTAGAGCAGCTGCACCTTTTTTTGGGCTCTAAAGTTTGCAAACAACCCGCCTTGAGGAAAAAAAAAATAAAAGAACTTGTCTCACCAGATTTGTGCTTGAGCAGAAACAAGCCTAAAACCATAAATAAATAAATAAAGGCATATGTCAGAGACATTTTAATGACATGAATTACAGGATGCCCATAAGTGTGCTCAGATCAATTCCCTCCTACCCTTTCCTTTCAGCTGCCTAAGCTTGTCAATTAAAACAAAGGGAACTGAGCAAACAACTCCAAGGGATTATGTTTTCCAAAGTAGCTCTTCACTAAAGAGCTGGACTACGACTGGTAAAAACAAGTGCAGCTGCTTGAATGGTGAAAGGAACATTTTTTACAACCACTCTGAGATTTTCATGATTTCTCTGAGTGCTTCAGAGCTGGCCTGTTCTACCAGAATTTTCTGCCTCCTCTTGAATAAATAAATTCATACTTCTCCTAAAACACAGGACTGGGCCCAGCTTGGACTCTATTTCTGCTTTACATTAAAGTGTCTCTGCTGAGGTGTCAGGACCACGTCTAGAACCACTCCTGAGCTAAGAGGAGAATCAGGTTCAGCACTGCTGTTTTATTCCAAACAGGGTTTTGGTTTTTTGGGGTTTTTTTGCAAGTCCCTACAAAAACACTGTGTGGGAACATTAAAATAATGCAGTTCTAAAAAGGCAGTCTTTGGTAATCAGACACATGGCAGTTGAAACAGTAGGATTGTCTGCTCTTTCCTGTTTTTAAGGATGATTTTTATTGTTTGAAGAACGCTATTAAAAGGTTGAGTGTCCCACGCAGGGAGAACCTTAAATTGCTGTTACTTGACTTGTTCACTTCGTCACTATTCAAAGATCCCCAAGACTGAGCGAGGCTAGAAATGTTCACACAGGGAGTGCCTGTCTTCTGCTGCAAGACTCTGAGGTCTCTGCTGGTAAATGTTGTTCCTTTAGAGATGCTGGTGCCTCAAAACTAGGAGGTTTCTTTCAGGTTGGAGTCTCTTTCAGGTTGGAGACCAGAAAGAATTCCTTCATGGAAAGTGTGGTTAGGCATTGGAATGGGCTGCCCATGGAGGCGATGGAATTACCATCCCTGGAGGTGTTCAAAAAATGACTTGGTGCTCTGGTCTAGTTGACAAGGTGGTGATGGGTCAAAGGTTGGACCTGATGATCTTGGAGCTCTTTTCCAGCCTTAATGACCCTGGAATTCCGTGACT